AAAAAAAAAAAAAAAAAAAAAAAAAAAAAAAAAAAAAAAAAAAAAAAAAAAAAAAAAGGAAGATAGGCAAGCAACTAAAAGAAGGCTAAATGCTTTCATATTAGACATCGAGGACAGTAAGATGAATTGTACCCAAAGTGCTTGACATGCAACTCCATGAGCAACACACTGTAATGAGTGTGGTGAACAGATAAATGATGTCTGCGTAAGAGATGATGGTAAAATTGTATTGCTTCACTCATAAAATATGATTGGAAATATGTCATGTGTCATGTGCTCTTGAATAGAGGAATGGGGTTTCAGATGGCTTAGCATCCCCTGTGAGTTCTACTGCAGGTTTTGAAAAGCAATACAAATTTTAATAGAATTTTTGGATGTAAAGAGTTTATACAGARTATGAAACTGTAGGATAAATAGGTCAAAACACTTGGAAAAGTATGGCTTTTTTCAAGCAACAATAGGTTGCAGTCCCCAGAGCAGGAAATTATCAATAAAAATGAAAGAGTTTAGATTAAAATACTTCCCTTGAAAGCCACATTCTGAAAAATTAACTGCTGCATTGATCTATGTGGATGGTATCAGTTAAATTTTTCGGATTTGACTCGAACATACTTGGAAAGACAACATTTCTGAATACAAAAATCAATCTAGCTGAAGGAGCTGCATAATTTCTGCAGCTATTTAGCAACTAGCATTTCAGATCAAGTTACTCCTACCATTGCCATTCTAGGAATGTATTCCACAATGTAGGTGACTAACACTGCAGCAACAAAGGTGTTAGAGCATTGGACATTTTTCTTCCACTTATATTTTTTAAAGATACAAAACAGATTGAGGACAGAATTAAGATGTTACTTGTTTTAATTAGTACRTCTGTGTTGTAAAACTGAAGTGAAGCTTCCACTGAAATATACTGAGGAGTGGTCTCAGTACTGCTCAATACTATTCTAATTCTGCTGTCCATTCTTGCTTCAAGCTGTGTAAAATTAAAAAGAATTAYTTCATTCTGAATGTGAAAATGCCAATTTCAGTGGTGTGATAGCCATATGTTCTTTGGAAGGAAACACAGTGCCATGCTGCCATTCAACATCTCTAGAACAGCCTGAATGAGCTGAACCAGCCTCTCTAATGCTGAATGTAGTTTCTGACTTTTGACTCATGTAAAGCTCCTGCTGTAARCATCCATATGAAGAGACAGGTCTTATAAAAAATGACTATTCATTTGTAAACAAGGTACAAACATTGAAAAACAATAATGTGCTTACAAATGTGTTAGTGACTTGGAAAATTGTTCAAAGGTTTACTCAAGCAAGCATATAAACAAATACATTTTATTCATGAATTAGTTTACTGTCACTTCAAGTCAACAGGAAAGAAATATTATTTGTATYAATTTAAAATAATTTAGAGTATTGATTAAATTTTGAATAAAAAGCTACAGGAAACAGAATACCTCTGTGTAATCTAGGCATTAAGACAAAAGAGTCTCTCCACCTGTGAGGAAAGCTTTAAAGCAGTTAGCCAGMTTTGAAGAAAAGTTTCAGGAGGGTTAAGGATCAGTCTCAGGAAAATACAGTTGGCAATAAAGGAAATACCTGTGAATGTAACAGTCTCTTTCAATTCCAGTAAACTTTCACATGCCTCTCTCATATCAAGAAACTTACAGCAAACTTGAGACAATTATTGAACAAAGATACCAATAACTCAGCCTGGAAAGATAAGCCATCATGTCACTGCCTAGAAGAGGAGGTTTGATTGTTTTGGGGGTTTTATTGTTTTTATTTGCTGTTCTGCATTTGCTACTGCGGCTCATGTTTGGTTTGAATCATTAACCAGAATCACAACTTGTAGTAAGCTCTAGGCATTTACTTCTGAGTGGCAAGCCTCTGAATAAATGCATAAAATCTGACAAATTAATGCTACATGCATAAGTATTTGGAAACCCACATTTCTCCCAGAAAATATATTGATGCCATTCAAATATATACCCACAGGTTTGCTACATAGTAAACCTCTTGGGAACTCCTTTCTGCTACAGCAGTTTAAGCTTTTCCACAGTTAATCATCTCTTTAAGGCTCAAAGGCTAAGATTTTCACCTTATGAAAACTTAATGTTGCAACTT